TTATTTATTTTTTGATGCAACTAAAATGTTATGAGTTTGCTCCCATTTAGTAATTATACTCTACAAAAATTTTTTATTACATACATTTTTGGTATATTAAAAAGTTAATTAATTAATAATATAAAATTTTTAATTTTAATCTTAAAATAAAATTTTTATATTAATAAAAATTAATTTCATCAAATTCCTAATAATTTTTTTTTACATGAAATGAGGGAAAAGATAATGTTACGGCGGCCTCTTGTCTCTTTTGTTTTTTTACCCTTTTGCTAACTCAGGGAGTAGAAAAAAAATAGTAAATTGTTATTCGTGTTTACCCAAAAAAAAAAATTGTTGCAGGACCTTTAAAAAAAATAAAATTAAAAGTACTCAAGAGTTAAAAAAAAAAAAAGTAATTTAAAATACGGAAAAAGGGGTTAAATTTGCGTTAAGTATGGATTTGTGGCCCATTCCATCCTCACCGTTCAAATAAATAAAATTTTAAATTAGGATGATTAAGTCTTTCACACACAATCAAATCAATCTTCTCCATCTCATTCTCTCTTCCTTCCTACCCTAATGACAATCCACATAAACCATCCAATTCCAAAGTTTAGAACTTTACCCTTTTGCTATCAGTTTGCCCATCTTCTTATTTATCTTTGACCAGGGAAACACACACAGGAACAGGGACAGGGAGGGTTCTCTCTCTCTTTCTTTCTTTGCCTTTTTATTTTGTGGTTTTGTTAGTAGTTAGTATTATCTAATCTCTCTATCTGGGTATGGTTTGTTTAATTGTTATATTTTAGGACAGGAAAAAGAATATCTAATCTTAAATCTATCATCCCCATCTTTACCTCGCTGTCTAAAAATGTCTCAACAGCAACAAATTCCAATTGAGAGGACAAATGGGCGGTACAACAACAGTAAACAGGCCATGTCTTCTTCCCCTTATCCCTCCCCAACTGCCACCTACGAGCAAGTAGCCCAAAGCGCCGACCTTTTCTGGGAAAAGCTCAAAGCTTTTCACAAATCACTCGGCACCAAATTCAAGTAAGCGCCCTTTCTCTGCAATTTCCGATCAACTTCCATATTTGAGCTCTTTTCTTTGCTTTTTACTAGTATTCAAAGATGGGGTTTTGCCATCTTTTATTTATTTATTTTGCCTTTTTATCATTCAAAGATGGTTTGTTTTTTTTTTTTTTCTTTTTTTTTTTTTGTGTGTTTAAGTTATTTGGATCTTTTTTTTTCCCCCTTTTTTCATATGGTATAAGCTTGGTTGGGTGTTCTTCCATATCTGTCTGTAATAAGATTTTTAATGTTTTAATGCATATTGCAACTTATTGTGGCTAACGGTTTACAAATTGATAATTCGTAGATTCACTTATTATTCTGCACATAAAAGAAATGGACTTATAGTTCTACTATTAGTATACTTGAAGTACGGTAATCCAGTGGCTGTGGATTGCTGATGATGGTAATTACTTCATGAAATTGGTGCTTCTTTATTCTTTTCTCAGACAAAAGGTTTCTTTCTAGAACTTTATGTTCTTTTTTTCAGCTCCTATTTTAATAATGACTGGAATTTCGCTCCTTGAGACAGTAATTTCATCATGTTTTTTGTTCAGGTGGTTGTTTTGTTATATTTTGCATGCTTCTTTGACTAGTTTTGTTGACTAAATAATGCTTTGTTCTCTTTCTTGTTTCAATATTTACATTTCTGATCAACGCTCTTACAAGTATTATTTTTGGGGTCTGATAGGACTCCTACCGTAGGAGGAAAGGCTCTAGATTTACATCGACTTTTTGTGGAGGTCACAGCCCGTGGTGGTCTTGAAAAGGTATTAGTTTTATGATGCAGATCCTGTTTTGTGGTATAACACTCTTCTGTCTTTAGTTCGAAGACATAAATGTTGATCACCTGGATTTCCTCGTTCCAATTAAGGAATATAAGTGATATTTCCTCCTTATATGACCAGGGATTGCCCGAAACTATATGTTTTGATGCTAGGATGACTTGAACTTGCCTGCCAATGTTTTCTTGAAATCATGTTCTTGTCTATAAGTTCAAGTGGATGCAACTCTATTCAATCTTTTTGAGGGAACTTTTCTTTTTATTTCCAATTCTGTTGAAACTGTTACAGGTAATTAGAGATCGTAAATGGAAAGAAGTGATTGAGGTCTTCAAATTCCCAACAACTATTACGAGTGCGTCATTTGTTTTAAGGAAATACTATCTGTCAGTTTTGTATCACTTTGAGCAAGTCTATTACTTCCACAAACAAGTTTCTTCAATCTCTACACCTGGTATGTGAAAACTGAATATTGATCTTTCATTTGGTTTTTCTTTTACTTTTTCCTGAAGCTTTTAAATGCAATTTTTTAAATGTTATTATAATGTAATAGATACTGAAAGTAGGAGCCCCATAAATGGATCAGCAAACATAGTGGATTACTCCTCTACCAATCAATTGACGGGTCAAGGTATGTGTAACTACTATTGTAAGTTGGTTCAATTGTACTGTGTTATAGCTGAGTGCTTTGCTACTTTGGTTATTAGATTTTGTATTCTCGTTTTTCTCTAAAGGAAGGAGCTATCATTCCCATATCTGCTCAATTGATATCCATTTGAGTGCTCAAACAACTATCTGTAGTACATATTATTGCTGGACTAATCATATTTGCTAACTGAAATTGCAATCATTGACCATACATCAGTTGCCTTGTATATCTAAAATGTAGTTGAAAATTTTTCCGAAAAATTTGTTGGTGAAGTCTGGTTAAAAACAGCTCAGCTTCACATTTGATGCTAAGATGCAAGTTTTTCTTTCCGTTCTTGCAATACTTGGATGATTCATCCCTTGTAGAGTTGTTTAAGTTAGAGTTCTTTTTGTTTCCCTAGTTGTTTTATTTTATTGTATTATTTTTTATTGGTGCAACTCATATATCTTTTGGAGCTCAGGCAACAGTGTTGCTTTAGTTAGGTCTACACCATGATTTTCTGAGTAATTGATTCTTCAAATGGAATGGGGTTTTTTTTCTTTGCCCAAAACAGAAGAAAAAGTTTGGGCTTGCTATAAATTGTTATTATCTGTATCAATTTGCCTTGTCCCACCTGTCCATCTAATAAATATCTCCATGGACATTTAAATATACATATCATGTAGCTCTGGGGAGGATCATTAATTATTTTTACTTTAACTTGCTGCAGTTCCAGAGTTGCCGCTTGGTAGTTCGGTGTCGGGAATCATTGATGGAAAATTTGACAATGGTTACCTGGTTACTGTGAAGTTGGGTTCTGAGCAACTTAAAGGTGTCTTGTACCATATTCCCCAAATGCTTCAAGTATCTCAAAGTTCAAATACTTCAGGTCTACCACCTCACCAGCGTCGGAAGAGATCCCGATTGGCTTTACGGGACCCTTCCCGACCTAAGTCAAATAGGAGTGGCTATAATTTCTTCTTTGCTGAGCACTATGCTCGGTTAAAACCTATGTACTATGGGCAAGAAAAAGCCATTAGCAAGAAGATTGGGCATCTATGGAACAATCTAACAGATGCTGAAAGACAGGTATGAAAGCAATGATAACAGATGTGCCTTTTTCACCCCTTCTTTGACTTCACATTAGCGGTTTCTGAGTTGCGATGTTAACATTTTAGTTGTGGTGGCATATATCTTTTGCCTGCAAGTTATTTTCCTCAAGTATCACATAATCATTGAATTTTTGTGGTAAAATGCTTGGTTTTTATCTAACTCTTTTACCGTACACAACAATGAGTGACGTACACAACAATGAGTGACGTCGAAGAGAGTTTGAAAACTAGGCCCTTCGCTTTGTCTTTTCTTTGGACAAACAAAGGTCCATGTGACTTATGCTTAGCTTGGCTTTTTTATCAATAAGCTCTTCCACATATTGTGATATGTGTAGTATAGGAAAGTTGTTAAGGTCAGTGGAGTTAGCAATTAGGAAGGGTTAAATAATACTAATGGTTTCCCTTAACTGCATGCAGGTTTATCAGGAGAAGGGGTTGAAAGACAAGGAGAGATACAAAAACGAAATGTTGGAGTATAGATCTTCCTACGATTCAACAGCTCAGTGATAAGTTCCTTTCGAGCAGGAACTCAGTGGATTTAAATCTCAACTTTCTCTTGACTTTGAGTATGGATTGCCATTTGATTATCAGAGACACATTATCATGACCATGATGATGTTAATCCTGGAACAACACCTTATTTCTGAAGCCTTTGCAGTTTAATTTGGGCTGAAGTTATTTAGTCTATTAATTATTGTCCTTTTATCATTTTAGTCTAGGAAGTTAGTTGTTTTTTTTTTTTTTTAACTGATCTAGAAACTTCAAAAAGTAAATCCAAATGGTCTATTTGTCAAAGTTTGTGAGTTTTTCTAATGAAAATCTACTTCAATTCTATGTGGCACCAAGGAAACACTTCATGAGTCAAGAAAATTAGATTTCAACTCATAATTAAACTTTCCTCTCATTGTGGGCAATTGATCATTTGTCTTTTTCAGTTTTCTGATCACCGCTTGTTCTAATTTTCTTGAGTCTAGTAAATTTTTTAGACTTTAATTTTGTAATTGTGATGTTTGTATATCAATTTTGAGAGGAAATGAACGTTGTAGACTAGAGTGGTGAAAGGTACTTGCATTATTATGAAGGTAACTCCTTAACTTTAGCATGTCAATTTGAGGAAATAAGGGATTTGATTTTTTTAATAGGATACGTTGTGCATGATATATCATCTCACCTTTATAACACTAAATAGAATACAATCAAAAAAAAAAAAAATACAGTATGGTCCTGGTGAGATTCAGAGTGGTTGGGGTTATTTATTTATTATTTATTATTTTTATTTTAGAGAAGCAATATTCTCCCTGGGTTAAAAACTGATAAAAATTCAGGTCGGTATAGAAATTTTGTGTTTCTTTTATTTAAAAATGTAAATTTTTTTTTTAAAAAAATTAAGTGATAAACATTGATTTTTAAGAGCACGAATTCTGTTAATTTCTTTATTTAGAAATATAAAATTTACCTATTTTTAATTAAGATTACTGTTTGCATGTCATCATTATTATCTAATAAATTTTTAAATAAAAAAGCATAAAGTACATCTTTATATAAAAAATAATAAAATTATATTATTATCTACACATTTTCTTGTTTAGAACCTTAAATTTTTTATTTGAAAGAGATTATGACAAGCTATTTAAATCGTGGTTTTTTTTTTTTCCTAAGAGCACACTCCTTGAGTTTAAAACATACTACCAAGGGTTCCATCAGTTAGTAAACAAGTGATATATATCTTGTAAGTTAATTTTTTTTTTGGTTGGAATCTTGTAAGTTAATTTAAGGTTAAGTTTTGAGGCTAACAGTTATAAAATTAATTTTTTTAAATATATTATATTGATATGAAAAGTGTTTCATTAAAATAATCAAAAAAATAATTAATTTTATTGAAAACTAACCCAAAAACAACCTGCACGTAAAAAACAAAAAAAATGTTTGACAAGTTGAAACTATGATTTAAATATTCATCACACAACTTACGCCTGCATTATTACTGCATATATACTGTATATATAATATGAAGGTAGTGTTATAGAGATAATTTTTTTATATTATTTTTTGATATAATTTTTACATGTTATTAAATAAGTTGATGCATTCACTATATATTATGGGTTTTATATGAATAAAAAGAATTAATCGTTTAAATGATATATCATATTGTACTAAAAAATAATATAAAAAAATTATCTCAAAATTATTTTTCATAATATAATGATAGTTCATAATAGCATATGGCCGATATGCATGCATGTTAAGTTTGGAAAGGATCAAGAATTAATTAATGACAATAAATAGAAATTGAAAATCACAATGAAGCATGCCAATCAGCCAATGCCATCAAATCTCAATATTATTCATTAATTCCAAATCCAAAAGTCACAGATTTTGATATGTCAATTATTTGGAAAGAAATCAAAGGAATGCAAAATAAATAAATAAATAGTAGTAAAATTAAATTTAATTTAAGGGAAAAACAAAGAGGGAGAGATTATCGGATATGAGTATTAAATTTAAACAAAATTAAAAGCAAAAAATTAAATTACGTGTGGGGGAAGAAGAAGAGTGCCGCTGAGATTTTGGCATTAATGGGAGTGAGGGATAAGACTTAACACTCCAATTCACACGCCACTACTCACTCCCATTCGCCATCCCTCACAACCCTTCAACCTTCAACATTCAACCTTCATCCCCTCTTTCTCTATTACTACTAGGAGTTTATATGTATATATATATATATACATATATGTAAACAACCAAAAACCTAACCTACTCTAGCTTAATTGTCTGCTCTCATAATTCTTCTTTTATCAGGATTTAAGCTCAAATTCAACATCCTCCTCAATGGATCCACAAATTCAGCCAACTGATGATGAACCACAGGCACCTACGCCTACGATTGTATGCGAGTTTTGCTTTAAACAATTCACCAACGGTAAGGCCTACGGCGGCCACAAGAGAATCCACCTCCAACCTCTTATCAGTAAACAAGAAGGTCCGCAGATTGAGGACCAATCTAATCCTCAACATCAACCTAGCTACCATGCCATGAATGATGTGACTGAAACCAAACAAATTAGGTGTTCCTTGTGTTTCAGATTTTTCAAGTCTTGGAAGAGTCTTTTCGGGCATATGAGAGCTCATCCAGAGAGATATTGGAGGGGAATCAATCCGCCCCCATCATTCACAAATATCAACAATTACAATTCTTCTTCATCTACTCTTTCTGAGGAGGAGGATGATGATGATGATGATCAAGATCTGGTTGATGACTCTTCTGTTACCCCACCAAAAACATCTCTTGTCAACTTGACCGAGTCACTTGGCAGGAGCTGGTTAACTTGTGCCAGGAGAGGCCGAAAAAGACTGGTGGCTGAGGATATGAAATCTGCTGTTGATGATCTTTTGCGGCTTGCTCAAGACCATCACAGTAATGATCAAGTTGAAATCTCACAACCATGGATGGTTAGAAAATTGGAGGAGGAGGAGGTCAAGATACCTACTGGCGAAGCAGCAGAGTCTTCTGAAGATTCAATGGCTGTTACTGGTGCGCACAAGAGGAAAAACCGAAAATTGACCGATTTGGTGTTTGATCATGAGGACCACAATCACCTATGCATCACCTGTAACAAGTCGTTTCCTTCATACCAAGCTCTGGGAGGTCACATGGCGAGTCACAACAAAGTCAAGTCCATGAAGATAGATCAGGAAGAAGCTGCTGCCACATCAACATCAACCCCAGGACGTGGTCAAAAGCTGAATTTTGAAGATGCAGCTGAGCATCAGTGCAACATATGTGGAGTGAGCTTCCCAACGGGACAAGCTCTTGGAGGGCACAAGCGACGCCACTGGTGGACCAGCCCAGCTAGAGCACCAGCTTCTTCCTCCTCGGGAGAAATCACTACTAATACTCGTTTGATGCTTGATTTCGACCTTAATGAGCTTCCTTCTGATGGATTAGATAGTTGATCACTTAGTGAGTTAGCCTGTTTCACAAATTGTTTATTTACTTTATGGTACTTATTAGCTCTGGAATATTTAGAATCATCTGATTCTCAAGTTTTATGGTTTAGTCTGCAGTTGTCCTTTATATTAGTTTG